TCCCTGCCATCCCATTTCCCTGGAGCCGTGCCCTTCCCTGCCCTCCCGTGTCCCTGGAGCTGTGCCATTCCCTTCCATCCCGCTTCCCCGGAGCTGTGCCCTTCCCTTCCATCCCATTTCCCCCCCCAGGTGTCGGACACGCTGCTGGAGTGCCGCAAGCACCTGACCTGGGTGGTGGCCGTGCTGCAGGAGGTGGCTGCGGCCGGGGCTCAGCTCATCGCGCCCCTGGCCGAGACCGAGGGGCTGCCGGCCCCGCGCCTGGAGGAGCTGGCCTTCAAAGTCAGCGAGCAGGTGAGCCCTGGGGGCTCAGCCCGCCGGGAATGAGCCGGGAATGCCGCTGGGAAAGGCTGGGAAAGGCGTGGGGTTTGCGGCCCCTGCCCTGTGCTGCCCGTCTGTGCGGCTCCGGGGGATGTGGTGGAATTCCAGCCGGTGTGAGCAGGGCAGGGACAGCCACAGCCACAGCCTGGGAGCTGTGGGATGCACTGGGCAGCAGCGAGTGCCCTGTGGAGGCTGAGCAGCAGCTCAGGGAAGCAGAGTGGGCTGAGCTGGGATCGGGGCGCCCTGGAATGGTTTGGGTTGGGAAATCCCTCTGAGCCCATGGAGTCCAACCATTCCCCAGCGCTGCCAAGGCCAGCACCGTGTGGGATATCTCTGCCATATTCCCACATCCCATAGAGGGGAATGATTATGGGGGATTCTTGTAGGAAGTGAGAAGGTCCCCCCGAGCCTTCTTTGAGCCCTCCCAGCTCACTCAGCCATTCCTGGTGCTCCAGCCCCTTCCCCAACCCCTTCCCTGGACACGACGGATGTGGAGTCTCTGGGTTTTGTGCTGATTTTGTTGTAATTGTGGTGAAGGGACAAGGGGTGGATTTTGTGTAAATTGCCCCACTTTGGTTCAGCATTGGGACGATTTTGATGATTATTTTGATTTTTGTGGGGGGAATTTTTTTGTTTTGTTTTGGTTGGTTTTGTTGATGGAAGGGAAGGTGTGGATTTTAATGGTAATTCCTAAATACCAGAGGGACATTCCTGGACATCAGAGGGACATTCCTAAACATCAGAGGGATATTCTTAAATATCAAGGGGATGTTCCTGAGCATCAGAGGGGTGTGGGAAGGGGGTTGTCCTGGGGGCTGTGAGCGTGGCCCGGGGGTCCAGCCACGCCCTTCCCGCCCTTCCCAGATCTACGGCTCTCCGGGGATCAACCCCTACGAGTGCCTGAGGCAGTCCTGCAGCATCCTCATGGCCACCATGAACAAGATGGCCACGGCCATGCAGGAGGGCGAGTACGACGCCGACCGCCCGCAGAACAAGGTGGGTCCGGCCGTGCCCCGACACCAGCCACGGGCCCTGCCCTGCCCTGCCGTGGGCAGGGAGCTGGGCAGGGGCAGTTCCTGGGGCTGTCCCTGCCATCCCAACCCTCCCTGTCCCTCTGTGCCAGCCCACGCCCCCGGCAGAGCTCCGGGCGGCCGCGCTGCGGGCGGAGATCACGGACGCCGAGGGGCTGGGGCTGAAGCTGGAGGACAGGGAGACGGTCATCAAGGAGCTGAAGAAGTCCCTCAAGATCAAGGTAAGGTGTTCCTTACTGATCCCTGCCTGTTCCGTACTCATCCCTGCCTTCCTGGCTATTTGTCACTAATCCCTGCCTGTCCCTCCCCAATCCCTGCCTGTTCCTCCTCAATCCCTGCCTGTTCCTCACCCATCCC